CAGTGTCTGGAGTGTTAGTCCAGAACAGATTCTGTCAATCAGCAATTAGGAATACTGACCACTGCAGCCCAGTCATGCACATCCACTAAACAGCTGCCTCATCCTATTTCATAAAAGGTGAAACCCCTTGTTATTAGTGACATTTCCATAGCTACAGAGTGACCCTTAGTGTGCTCACAGGTACATTCTCTCTGAACTAGCCACATGTCCAGTGGACACAGCCTTACCTTCTCTGGCTGATCCCCTCTTCATCTTCCATCTGCCCCTGCCTCCCTCGGGTGTCCTGATCTCTCTGGGGATGTGAAGTCTTCACCACATTCGTTTCAGAGAAATGTGGGAACATTCTTGCTATATTCCATTCTTCAGGCTCCATCTCCAGGGAGGATGGTCACCAGGAACCAGAGCAGTATTGAAACCATCAAAATTGTATTTCTGTCCTTGTGCCTATTCCTGTATTTCTGGTCCATCTACTAAGCCATTATCTTTAATATGACAGTTAATCTGATTTCCTAAAAAAATTAGGTCTTCATCCAGCTTTTGAATGTTTGCATGTGGAAGCTGTTGAATTTTTTCCTTGCCCTTTTTTTTTTTCCATTTCTTCTTTTTCTTTTTCTGTAATTAATAGAGGAAGGTTGGCAGCCTCTCCCACGCAGGCCACTGTTTTCCTTTAGTCCAGTTCCTAAGAACTTCTAGGACAGAACCTCTACAATACTTGCCTCAGGTACCTGAAGTCACATACTTTAGATCTTCTTCCAAAGTAAAAGTAAATAATTTTCTCCTGGTTACAGGTTGAGAGACATCTGTGGACCCCAGGACACAGTGGATTCTGCTTTTGGAGTGGATGTAATAGGAAGATGGGAGCCCTGTGGTCACTACTGACCTGAGATCTGAGGACCCCACAGCTCTGGGTCTTGTGCTTACATCCTGCATCTTCAGGGAAGAAAAGGGATAGGTGTCTCCCATTCCACTGGCCTGTTTTCCTGATTAAGTGCAATAAGAGCACAGAACCAATTGTATCCAAAATCTTTCTCTCTGCTTAAAGCAAACCCTGCTCCAATGGTAGGGACCTTCAATACAAGGAACCTTCTTTCTATTCAGGCTTCAGAGTTCTGGAGGGCCTAACAGAGAACCATACTCAGTGATGATTTCCAAGCTAAGAGCCAGCTCTCAGGGTGTGAGGCTTTCTTTCTCTCTCTTTCTCCCTTTCTCACCTCCTCTCTCTTGTATATACATTTGTATTTACTGGACTATTAATTTCTAGCTTCTCTGATGCTGCATGAGTTAAGGTTCAGTCTGTTGACCACAGCTTAAGAGTCTCCAGATACAGAGTCTCCAACCACAGAAAACAACAGTTACATTGAGAGTAACTGTGTACTACCATCAGAACTGCTCAGAAAAGGCCTGAACATCTGCTCAGCTGGTATAAGCTTGAAAGCCAGGAATCTCCCTGCTCCAGTCTGGAGCTTGGCCTCCCTGGACATCTCTGGGCTCCATTCATAACCTGAAACTGATGCCTCCGCTGTGCATCCTGCAACTCTCGAACTATTATTTATTTCACTGAAACTGTTGCTGAATCTAAGATTACTGCTGCTTGGCATGATACTGAAAAACCAGAAGACAGAAATTAGTAGGAGGAACCAGATTTATTCAGTCCTGAGGAACATAGAGGAGAATTTTCAGTCTCAAATCTCCGCCTTTCAGGGGATTGAGGTGTGAAGGGTTTTTATGGAACACAACAGATTACAATGAAACAAAGTGTGAGAAATCCTTATTCTGGGTCTTTCTTTCCAGAACACAATCTCTCTCCCTTTCTTCAAAAATTGACCAGGACCTGAAACCTTGACATCTTGAGTCAGCACCTGCATTTTCTTTTCAGACAAATGTTACTTTTTTTGCAAGTCAATTCATGTGAGTAGAGAGAGGGTGAGATGTTACAGATGCTGCTCTGTGGAATTTAGAATACCATATGAAAAAGATAGTCTTTAAAAGATTAGGAGAAGGATTAAGGCGGGAAGGCAAAAGTGATGGTTTCCACCCTCTCTGTTACAGAACTGAGGAGGTTCCAGTTCAATTCTAGGTCTGTACCTTTGCAGGTTAATTTCAGGAGGAAGTCGGTTCTCTTACTGTCCAGCTGTAAAGAGCTCTGTCAGAGGTCTGCTCTTGGTCTTTGATGTCTCTGGTTAACAGGATGTTGGTGGTGTTGAAGTTCACAGGAGGAAGATCTCATAGGAGTCAATACTTAGAGTTCTGGAGTCAGATTGTTCATGAGCCATGACATTGGGTGGTATCCATTACTACCAGTGAAAATGACCCTCCAGATATAAAAGTGTCCTTATAACACTGACCAACTTACATGCTTCTCAGCCTACTTTATTATGAACACTTACTAATGCTCTGAGAATAATCCATTCTAGAATTAAACCCCTCAGTACAAAGATAGAAATCATCTACGTCAGCCTGTCTTTGGAGAAAAGAAAGTACTTTGAAGAAGTGCTCTTGACTTTTTGAAAAATTAGAGTTTATGGTTGGCGTAAAGAGTACAGGCTGTAAATATGCTCAAGGTCATGCTTCTCCATTTGCTTCTCAGGACACCAAAGCTTTTGTAATCTGCTCCTAGGAGACTCTTTAGACAGTGAGGAGAGAGACACAAAGGTTCAGCTAAAGTCCTGAAAGATCAGAAGCAGAGGATCTAGTTCTCTTATACTAGAAGAACTGTCTTCAGGTTCAAGTACCTTAGCAGTAGGATGGAAAGCATAGCTCAGTTGCTTCTGACCCAGGAAAGAACTGCCACCAGAGCAGACAACAGGATGTGCATTGGCTAAGTCTTGGGAGAAGGAGAAGCTATAAGTTTAGTGGAAACTGTGAGGCTGGGGTTGGGGGCGGGGCTGAGGACCCAGAACGCAGAAGCCTTCATTGGACATTCAGACTTTTTTTTTTTTTGCTTGTGTGTGTGTGTGTGTGTGTGTGTGTTTAATCTGGTTAAGGTAACTTTGTACTCTCTCATTTTCTATTTAGTTCTGCTTCTCTTTCCTTCATTTTCTCTAGTCATTATATGTGAATCACAACACCCACCTTTCGGTATTCAATCTTAAACCATATCTTCTCCTTCCCTTTCCAATCTCCCTTCCCCATCTGTACTTTCCTTCTGTCTACAATTACAACTGCTCTCTCACTCATATTTTCTCTATTTCTAGCTCCCCTCCATAAACTTTTTTTTTCATTTTTCTTTTATTATTCATATGTGCATACAAGGCTTGGTTCATTTCTCCCCCCTGCCCCCACCCCCTCCCTTACACCCACTCCACCCCCCTCCCTCTCCCCCCCCCCAATACCCAGCAGAAACTATTTTGCCCTTATTTCTAATTTTGTTGTAGAGAGAGTATAAGCAATAATAGGAAGGAACAAGGGTTTTTGCTGGTTGAGATAAGGATAGCTATACAGGGCATTGACTCACATTGATTTCCTGTGCTGGGTGTTACCTTCTAGGTTAATTCTTTTTGATCTAACCTTTTCTCTAGTACCTGTTCCCCTTTTCCTATTGGCCTCAGTTGCTTTTAAGGTATCTGCTTTAGTTTCTCTGCGTTAAGGGCAACAAATGCTAGCTAGTTTTTTAGGTGTCTTACCTATCCTCACCCCTCCCTTGTGTGCTCTCGCTTTTATCATGTGCTCATAGTCCAATCCCCTTGTTGTGTTTGCCCTTGATCTAATGTCCACATATGAGGGAGAACATACGATTTTTGGTCTTTTGGGCCAGGCTAACCTCACTCAGAATGATGTTCTCCAATTCCATCCATTTACCAGCGAATGATAACATTTTGTTCTTCTTCATGGCTGCATAAATTCCATTGTGTATAGATACCACATTTCTTCCCATCCATAAACTTTTGTTACCTGTAGTTTAGCAGGTAATTTAGATGCCAGATTGTCTTTATGTATTTAATTTTCTTCATTTCTCTTTCTTCTTTCTTCCCCAACACATTAACTAGATCTGTCTCACTCACTCCACTTCCATACTAGGAAGCTAGGCAGCCACCCCTTCCTGATTTGTGAAGTCCTTCAGTTTGTATTATTCATTAGTGATATCCTGTCTCCTTTCCCACTACCACACTTACTAACTAAGTTCTTCCTACATGACAAAGATTCTTCTTTGCGCCTATATTCCTCTAAATATACTGGAACAGAAGTGGTGATAGGACTTCATTAGGATTTGCTGTTATCTCAAGGTGGTGATTTATTACCTGTGATAGCTTTTGCAGCCAACCTTCCTCTCCCTGTGTGGAGTAGGGGGTTGAATCCAGTGTCAAGCATTGAAATAAAGTGTTTTATTAATGAGCCACACATCTAATGACAAGAAAATAGGTCACAACCCGGCTGTCATTTGGTCTTAAGTAGTCTCTGGGAGATCCCCAACTAACACAGGAGATTGAAGCTTTCAGCCGAAAAAGTAGGCCCCAGATGTGTAAACACAATGTAGGAATACAAGTTACTTGAAATAAACAAGGCAACATGACTCCTTCAAAAACCAAAAGACTTAAGTGATTGTAAGGAAGAAGAAATTTTAAACAATGAATTCAAAAAAGCAATGACAAGAATAAGCAATGAAATTGAAGAGGAGATGTGTAAGTAGCTGAATGCTTTCAAAGAGGATACAAATTAACTGAATTTAAAAAAAAATAGCTGAATGAAATAAAGACAGTGCAAGATAGGAAAGATATATTCAATAAATATAGAAATCTTGAAGAAAATAAAATTGAAATCTTGGAAATGAAAGCTTAATAAGTGAAATAAAAACTCGAAAGTCTAGCTTATAGAACAGAACAAGTTGAAAATAAAAATATCAGGGACTGAAAATAAGAGGAATTAGATCAATCAGTCAAAGACAAAAAAATACTATGCACAGGTGGAGGACATAACAATATGTACTAAAAGCTATCAAATAATGGGGGTAAGGGAGAGTGACAGGATTGAACTGACCAAAATAAAGCATATTTGCAGCTGGGATGCATGGAGAAACCCCTGTGAACATTGACTTTGGAATTGATAATGAAAGTAAGACTGTAAAATAGGTACACCATATGTGGAGGTACTGGTGGGAATTGGGGGTAAATGGAAGTGATGAAGACAAAGGAATAGGGTTGATGGGCTTCATATACATAAAAGAAATTGAATGATGAGACTCCTTGTAATTGCTTTCAGTGGGACAGGAAGGGAGTGGCAGGAGGGAGATGAAGGGGGTGATCTAAACTAATGTACAATATAAGGCTACTCAGAAATGTCACAACAAATTCCCCCCAGTCCCTGTATGATGACTATATGCTAAAAAAATGAAAAAAATAAGTCCCAAGTTGAGATTATAAGAAAGTTAATTCCTAATTTGTATGACTGGCATATACCAAGCACTTGACATTATTGGCTATGTGTAGATACTCTTACTCTATAAATTTGATGTCTCTCCTCCATATTAATGGATCAGTTGAGATACATGCATTTAATATGTTTTTCCTCTAATTCTGTGAAACAAACTGCCATGGAACAGTTGATGCTTTATAAAAAGTGGTTATTACCGTAAGTCTAAGAAATAAGAATTTTGCCTCAAGATACCAAGATACACTTAAAAGCAAGGAACTCACTAAAGAAGATACAGCTGGCATGTGGTGGACTGAGAATTCCAGCTCTAAAGCCCATGTTTTAAACACTGCACAATGGTGCCTTTGCAAAAATACTTATCCTTTCCATATGCTTTCCCCTGGAAATTAATTGCAGAGGATATTTTTGCAAATGGAAGAGATCATAGTCAGTTTAGGACAAAGCTGTGAAAAAGATTCTGGAGTCCCAGAGCCTGTATCTTACAGGTTTTAAGCTGCCATTGAGTTCAGTGCCATTGCCTGTACAATAAGGATGTTTATTGCTACCTCAGAGTTTTGGAGGAGAATTAAATGTGCTAATGCATTTTTCTCTACTTATGATATGTAGTATGTTTGTACTTAGGTGGCAGTTTATGTAAATGAAGCACTGGAACTTGTGACCACACTTCTAGAATGAAAAAGTAAAAAATGGAACAACCATGTTTGTTATCTGAGGAAGAACAAAATCCAGAACCAGAGAAGAGATTAAAAGAAACCAAAGAAATAGATGATGAAGATGCTGAACTGATTTTTGTTGGGTGGAATGTGTAAGTGAAGATGCTGAGCTGTCTTTGTTGGGGTAACTTCAAATTCAAAACCAGTGGTTTCAAACATTTTGAACAGAGTCACCCCAGGTTCATGTTCAAGGAGAAAAAAGTATGGCCGCCTTAGGAAAAAAAATGCTCACAGAGTGCAGCCTACAAGTCCTATGGCCTCCACATCAGAAACAGTGATTGTCTTGCCAGCATCTCCATCTGAATCAAGATCAACAGTCCTATTATTGAGCCTTTATCTATACCTGATTATAAAGATAATTCACCACAAGTCGTGCCTGCTAGATCTTCAGAGTTATGTTCTCCTGTGGTTACATTCACAAGTTCATTGCATCATCCAGTAAGGCAGGACTTTCAGTAGGAGACGTGAATGAAAGTCCTTGTACAGCAAAGCGAGGTTCCACTTCTGAAGTAAATAGCATAAATCCCAAAGGCCTGAACCAGTGATGGAATCATAGAGGGATGTTCTTCAACTTTGTCCCCTTCGGGCATTTTTCATACAGTGAGTCCTCAGCAAAGTACACCCTCCAGTGATGTTCCTGCCTCATTGAGCCATGTTTAGAATGAGTACTTTGTCCAACAGCTTTTCCAAAGGACAGTGCCCATCTCAAGCCCACAGATTTAAATCCTGATAGGGAAAATGGATTGACAAAAATAGACTTTTCAAGTCCAGCAAGTCCGAACAAGAACGCTGATCCCAAAAAAGAAAATCTAATTATGTTATTGAGTGACTTTTACTATGGACATTATAAAGGAGATGGGCAGCCAAAACCAAAGACTTATGCAACCTTTAAATGCCTATGCTGCTTGAAATTTCTAAAAAATGTTAAGTTTATGAATCACGTAAAGCGTTATTTGGAACTCGAGAAGCAGAGGAGTAACAGCTGGGAAAACCCCACCACTTGCCAGCACTGCCACCGCCAGTTTCCCACTCCTTCCAGCTAGAACTTCATGTTGACAGTGTGCACACTACCCAGGAGCCCTCTTCTATCTGTAAAATCTGTGAGTTGTCATTTGAAACAGATCAGGTTCTCTTACAACACATGAAGGACAATCATAAGCCTGGGGAGATGCCCTGTGTGTGCCAGGTTTGCAATTATAGGTCATCAGCCTTTGCCAATGTGGAAGCACATTTCACAAAGTGCCATGTGAACACTAAAAATCTGCTTTGTCCATTTTGTCTCAAAATATTCAAAGCTGGAACACCATACATGTGTCATTATAGGGGACACTGGGAAAGGAGTGTTCACCAGTGTTCTAAATGTTGGCTTCAGTTCTTAACTTTCAAGGAGAAAATGGAACATAAGACCCAGTGTCATCAAATGTTTAAGAAGCCTAAGCAACTAGAAGGATTGCCTCCTGAGACAAAAGTCATTATTCAAGTGTCACTGGACCTGTTCAGTCTGAGTCAGCAAACATAGCATCCATTACTGTGAGCACAACTGACTGTGAACTATCTTCCCCCAAGTCTAAAAGTAGAATTTCAAAAAAGCTACATTAATTCTAGTTTTGACCAACCAAAGCAAATACTTCAATGAAATAACTCCTGTAGAAACAAAAATGCAAACAATACATCAGTCAGTAGCATCAAAAACAGTGAAACTAATGAATTTTTTTTTAAGTTCATGATAATGCAGTATTTTTCCCCCAGTGCTGGGGAACATCTAGGCAAGTCCTCTACCACTGAGTCACGTTCCCAGCTTCTGCAGTGTTGTTTGATTGAATTTTGAGGTATTTAAGATATATTACCTAGTTTTCATGTTAACTAGCTCAACACATGAAAAGTGTTTGTGTGTATGTTTGAATAGAGAAAGGAAAAAATAAGTGGAAACCTATTTATTATTTTGGTATTTCATGTTACTCATAAGCTTGGAAGTTCTACATAATGAATTTGTACAGCTTTTGAAGTATTTAATTTTATTTTCCACGTATTACAGATTTCATTATTAACACTAATCAGACTGGAGTGACTTTGTTATTTCCTGGCCAGTTTGCTCACGAACTCTCAGAAGTGCTTCTTTGCTGGCATAAAATCACCTGGTTCTGAAAGCCTAGTATGGTATGAATGGATATCAGGAAGGCACTGGTTAGTCAAGGGAGAGCAGTGGCTCCTTGTCCCAATGAGAGATAGGCACACGTTCACGCTAATATTGGAGCCAAGGCAGAAGAAACACTGCTCCATAGTGCTTTACCTAAGGGAAGAACATCAAAGAAGCAAAACCATTCTTGTAAAATGCCTGAGTTTGTGAAGATCCTCTCTGCACTATAGCTTTAGCTTCATATGAAGAAGCAACAGTAATTAACAGAATGGGAACTGGTGCCAATGGACTTCCTCTTGAATGATCTAATGAGAAAACGGATTTACTCCCCTCCCTTTCACTAGCCATTAGTGGAGAATGAACAGGCCATCTTCCTCTTAACTGCAGCAGTGACAATGCTGTGTTACTATAGAGAAAGAAGCACTGGCATCTATAGTCTAAACTATACGGACCACATTTTAACTGAGAATGGCCAAACAAATGGTATCTCTAGTTCATGGCCTGTGCTAAATTCAGTTCTGCTGCTGTTAATCTGCAATGGGGCTTGTCCAAGAACAGTGGTTAAAGTGGACAAAAATAGCCCAGGGCAGCTGATTAAAATTAAACCCAGTATAAGACCTGTCCTTTATTTTTTGGTAAACGTGTATCTAAAGGTAATTGAGCACTGTGAAGCTTGAAATTTTGTATATTGCTTTGGATGTGAGTGTATAAATTAATAGTTTTTTCTTTGTTATATGTATTATTTCCCAGTTGATCACACTATCACTGTTTGGGTCTTACTTAAAGGCACCAGTGTGCAAGGAATGTCCTGTTGTTAACTCTAAGACTTACTAAGTACTAAGGTTTAGAGTTATCCTTCATTGGATATATTGTGCTATTTGATATATCACTATACTGTAGAGGGACCTTCTTTCCTTGCCCTTCCCAAGCATCAAATATAGTTTCTGAATATTGGTTCCTAAACATCAGCAGCTTCTACTGCTTTTGTGAGTTCCCAGGGTTGTCTTTCTGGGTCTGGTGCCATCTGTTGTTCCTCCATCCTCAAGAGAGCACCATCGCTCTGTTCCAGTCAAGGAATCTAGCACACTGGTTGTAAACATCTCTACTTTTCTCATTCCTTCCCTTAAAGGTACCTTATCTCACCAGGAATGGTGGAGTATACCTGTCATCCCAGCCCTTGGGAATCTGAGGCAGGAGAATCATGAGTTCCAGGCTACCCTGGGCTACTTCAATCTAGTTAAATTTTCTGTTTTCACAGAGAGCTGGAAAGAGATAATCATCAGACCGTGGCATCCTCATTAGAGTTGAGGAAGGAAGGGTTACAGAGAAGTGGTTGTGAGTAGATTCTGTTGTATTTGTTTACTTCATGCTTGACTGATTCATTTGCACATTGAAGATTTTACTAGGCCTTTTCAGTTATTTTACTTAGGCCAAGGCACATTGCTAAAATTTGATCCCAAACCCTTTCTTCAGGTGTAGAAAGTGTATGCATTTATCCAGTGTGTTCTGGTGGAAACTTGTACTGTGTGTAACTAAATCTACAGAGTATTATTGTATACTCTGTTTCTACTGAAAAATAAGAACTATTTTAGTTCTATGTTTGAGGGATTGCTTAGTGTTAAGTGATATTTCATTAGCGCTTGCTCCTAAGGAGTACAAATTGTCATTTATTGCTAATTATAAGCTCCAGTGGTCTGGCCCCTGGCTACCTCCTGCTTTCTTTGTCTGCCTTGCTTTACTACCTTATTCTCTGCTGATGCACTGTTTTGACATACTGGCCTTGTTATTTCTGAAGTAAGTCACATCTCTTCTGATTCAAAGGCTGCACTTGCTTTTCCCTTTCTTGGAATGTTCTTTCCCCAGGTCTGCATGACTTGTACCTCACCTTTGATTCATTGAGTTTCACCAAGGTTCTTAGAGTAAGTAACTAGAAATCTCTGCTGTTTAAAGCCTTACTTATTCCTTCTCTCTAAAGGCAATTTGCTTCCTCTACAGTTCAGCTGTTTTCTATATAGTCACTAAAAAGCTGAGAAGAAATCATTGTCAAGGGCTTTGCTTCTGTCTTAGAATTGAGCTATCTTGAGTCAATTTCTGTGCCTACAACCAAAAGAAAATTAATATTGTAAGTTGAGTCTTTCAGAAGTTTTCGTTTTTGTATTCATAGCGCTATATTTTTTAAAGCAATGTCACTTTGTTTTGTTTACAAATATATTGGATATCTGTCCAGATTACTATTTTATTACCTTTGTGAATTTTGTCTATTTTGCTGCTTGTTCTTCCAGATGAAATTTATTTTATTAATGTTGTGAACAATGCTAAGTAAAATAACAATTATAGTAATAAAATGTTTTGTGAAAAACTTTTTTTGCTCTGTTTTCTTTCACCAATAATATGATACATTTTTAGTTCTATTTAATTTTTATTTAGTAACTACTGCTGGTTGTATTTATTTTTAGTCTTATTTCATTGGCCAGAACGTCTACTCAATGATATATGTGGTGGCCTCTTGTTCTTGGTTTAATGGAAAATGATTTACTATTAAAGATAATGAGTATATTGCTTAAGGAATTACTATTTCCATTTTTAGGATTCTTAAAGAGTTATTTTATTTTATTGGATAGCTTACAACATATATTGAGACAATTACTTACTTTTTCTTCACTGACTCAAGGTTTTGCTTGGCTGCCTTCACAACTTTCTTATTAGAAACCAACCTTTCTTAAGCCAGTCATGGTGAAAGCTGTAATCCTACCACTCGGGACTGAGGCAGGAGGAATACAAGTTTGGTGCTAGTCTGAGCTATACCACAAGACTCTGTGTCACAAAATAAAAAAAAAGGGCAGCTGGCGACATGGCTCAAGCGGTAGAGCAGTTGCCCTAACATGCACAAGATCCTGGATTCAATCCCCAGTACTGCAAGACAAAACAAACCTTCCTTCCTTTAAGCGAAAGCAGTGCACTTGGGTAGAATATTATCTTCATTATTTAGAATCCTATTTCCTTTCATTTTATAAAAGATACTTCCCTTCCTCAGATTTGTCATCGTTTTATCAATGTTTCTGATTTACCTTTTTTTTTCCTTGCAGTACTGAGGCTTGAACTCAGGGCCTATATCTTGAGTCACTCCACCAGCCCTTTTTTGTGAAGGGTTTTTTCGAGAGAGGGTCTCACAAACTATTTGCTGGCTTCAAACTGCGGTCCTCCTGAGTAGCTAGGATTACAGGTGTGAGCCACTGTCAGGCACCTGGCTCTGATTTACCTTTTCTAAGAAGCAGACTTTTGATTTTCATTAAAATAGTTCATTAATTATATTCCTCATTCAGAAAATGAACTTGGTACACATAAGTTGTTTTTAAATATTGCAACAATGATTTCTTGAAGGTAATTTGATGAGTAAAATTAATAATACAAAAAGCAGAAAAGATTACCAAAAATAAGCATAGTTTTTAACAGCTTCAGGAAAGTGTTGATTAATACAGTCGCTTTCAAATTTGACATATGGCATATAGTTTTAGCTCTTCAGTGCTCTCTACCAATAAAACACAATAGTAAAGAATTTGCTTCTGCAGTCTTGGAGAACATCTCTTAGTGTTGTGTTGGTGCTTCTCGGATGAAGCACACTAATCAGGACAGTCACATATTTATGTACACCCTAAGTTCCAGATATAAACACTGCAACCGAACTGATGGAGTGATAAAATCATAAGTCCTCAGATTAGCCACAGCGGTTTCTCACGAATTACATGAAGTGCATAAAAATATGAAATGCAACAGAGGTGGAATGGCAACTGACTTTCTGAAAGCTCACATACTAAAACTAAACATAGTTTCAAATTGTGGTGTGGAGCTATTCTGTTACCAGGTAGCACCCTCCCTTACCTTTTCAGTAGCACCTAGCTGCTGGTTTCTTAAAGCCAAACTAATGATGGTTTTTTTGAAGATCAAAATTGTCCATTGTCCTATCCAGGACTCCAAATGGAGGACTCTTCATGTGTCCTGATTCCTTTGCTTTGAGATAGCCCTGAAAAGGAAGAAAGATAATTGATAAGATATAATCTCCGGAATGTCATCTCCTTACTACAAAAAACAGGAGCCTTTTACTCAACCAGATTCCAATAAAGGTTCCAAGTCAAACTTGAACTAGTATAAGGTTCACTAACATCCTACTGCCCAAAGTGAACACATGGTCAAGCGTGAAGTGGGATGGGGAACATACTTCAGTAGGAGAACCTGCAGTTTCATGAATAGAGGTGGTAGTAGTGTTTGGAGTCAGTAGTAAACCAGCCATTCTCAGGGCAGACAGCCAGTCTAAATGGGTAGATAGGCAGTTAAAATACACCAGTAGGGCTATGGATGTAGCTCAGTTGTCTAGCACTTGTCTAGTATATGCGAGGCCCAGAGTTTGACCCCCAGTGAAACACACACACACACACCAC